CGGGAAGAACCCGTTGCCCCTGGACCAAAACCACTTGCCTTGCTATTCGGTTAGTCGCATATTTCGTATCGCCAATAGTTTCTTGTTCACTTTAGCTAGAAGTGATGCCTAAGTGTGATCGGTAGATATTATATTGTATATATTGTAGGCCTGAAGAAGGGCTTAAGGCCCGAAACGTTGCCAAATAAATATCTTGAAGAGTTTCATTCTACAAGAAAACACTGACATACCATTTCATGCGCACGAACAAGAGGGTGGGTATACTTGTCGAGATGGAAAGCGGAATAAGATAGTGACGGAATTGCCTGCTGAAGTTAGACGACGCAGCAATACCACACCTGCGAAGACGACTATAGTATCGGACATATGAGCCATAGTGACGTATACAAATAATTCAGGACCAGCCTTTGGGATCAGAGCTGCTATTCTCCGCTGATCCCCTCTCCATCTCTAGAAAAATTCATTGAAACTAGTGAAAGGAATATTAGTGGGAGCAGAGGAACATGGATATTGCCAAAATAGATGCAGACGGATGCCTACGATGGAAGTAGAAGTCAACAGGTTGAAGTACCTGTCTGGTCGTCGTTTCCCTGACATCTGGGTGACCGAGCACCTACATTTTTTTGTTTCCTTCTGAGTTCATCTCTGGTGAACAGAAAATTTTGCGAGAGATGGAGTATACTACTGTGTGAGCAGTTACAATATGAACTTTAGGGTGCTGGGATTTGTCTTTTTTTTCTCAGCGGTCCTGGTATCTGAAGCTCGTTGGCGTCAAATGAAATTTCAGCTTTTTTTTCAGGGAAACTCAGCGTCTTTGTGGAAATGATGGCTTGTTTCCGTCAGATGGGCGAATGTGCGGTTATAGTTTCAAATTTCACCAAGGTATACCTTCCTCTGTATACTGTTTTACTAGTAACAATAACTCATCATCTTGTAGTCGACTAGGTATAAATTTAATGCATTTCTTTTCCTGAAACTAGCAACTTCCTTCGATCTATGATTTGAGGAATGAGCTCCTGCCGCTCTTTTAGTGGTGTTTTCAGCAGTCGGCGAAATAAGATCAACAGTAAAATGCCATTCTGAAAGACTTCACCTAGTCACAAATGTGTGTCATTTCTTACATCAAATTTTGTTTCCAATTCAGGCTTTCAAAAATGAAATTCCGGCGCTATTTGGCTGAAGGAGGAGGCATTTTGCTCTTTCGCTGGTTCTTTTGCTACTTCCTGTTAAATCACACGTCTCACCTTGACGGGACGTGTAGATTCGAGTGTCAATGTAAACGAAGCTTATACCATTGCATAGTATCACAGGAAGAACATTTCGTCACAGAGAACATCGGTATCCAAAATGCCCCACCGAACTGCGTCTGTTCCTCTTGGCAAAAAAAGCGTTTTCTGCATTACTCCTTCAGTGGGGAGGCGGTCCTAAGGCAGGGAATCTATTTAAGACATTCACGCCTTGTGGAAGGTATGTAGTAGCTGCACCGTGGTTTGACATTGCTCCCTCAATAGTCGCAACCTCCACCTGACGTGCGTCGCTCCGGTCGACGTTTTGATGGGGTTTGGCGGGTGTCACACACTAGAGAGGAATAGTAAGGCCAACATAGTCTTTATAAAGTTCAATATCATCAAGGAACGAAGTGATTCAACCGTAGAGTCCTGAAAAACAACTCATTCTGCTCCATGAAAGCGTGTGGTCAATCGCGAAAAGCCTCGGGAACATCCCGCAGAAAAAGACGTAGGCCTATGCAGCACGATTTGCACTCTGCGGACCGACTACTGCCACGGAATATCACCTCTTTGTTCAGTGTCTAAGTAAATGAAGGTGGTATCCACATCGGCGATGAGGACTCCGATTTTTTAGGCGCGGACTTTAGAGAAAATTCATTCATGGGGAGAACTTTCGGTACATTCTCAAGAATCAGACAAATTGCTTTCGAATAACATTTCATCATTGGCCATAGGAAACAGCCGCGGCAGTATCAACTCAACTAACTCAAAATCAAGAGATTTTGCTCCCTACTAATACCACCCATATTTCTAGGTCGAAAGGAGAATGCCCATAGACTTAGTTGGGATGTTGGGAATCCCGGTGATGATGGGAAGAAGCCTGAAACGCTTAGTTTCGAGGAGAACCCAGAGGGCACTATATCGACGATTTCTTCTTATTTTCTCTGAAGTTCTCCGACGGTCAAACCTCTTTCCCGTCCCTCAGTGGGCATGTACTATTTTTAAAATGTTGTGTTGTTAATGGTGATCTGTGGGGAACCATTTTTGTATCTTTTTGCAGACCCTGGATATGCTGGCTTCGTTATGCGCTTCTCTTGGACTATGTGTGCTAAGATTGGATGGCCAAACACCGACATCAGACAGACAAGCCCTAGTTTCACAGTTCAATTCCGAAAGAAATCCTGAAAATGTTTTCCTGCTTAGCACAAGAGCCGGTAACTATGTTAGAATGCTACTACTACTACTGACCTCAAAAGGGAAGATAGTTCTCTCCTTTTTCTCCTATTATCACTTTCTTTCCATTTCAGGCGGTGTGGGTCTAAACCTCATTGGAGCTTCACGTCTGATACTATTCGACTCTGACTGGAACCCAGCCTCTGATCTGCAAGCCATGGCGAGAATTTGGAGAGACGGACAAACGAAACCGTGCCACATTTACAGGCTGGTAACAGCAGTAAGTTGAAGGGCAACGATGTTCATTTTTTTGCTCACTTCCTGGTGGCCAACGAATATGTTGCCTGCAACGGGGCAAAGACAGAACGGGTGAACTGCTACCAAACTGCCAGAGGACAATACTTCGTTGTTTAGTAGAACTTGTGGTTCCTACTTTTCCGCCATATTGTGGGTGCTGGTGAATAAACCGGCTTCAAGCTGCCGGTTTGTTCACCGGCAGACCCACTATGGCGCACTGGTAGGCGTGGCGAGAGACGCCGCGCTTGACAGAAGAGTTCTGCCGGATCGTTCGAAACTGAGTGGTAAAAGAATGATTACAGGGCACAGTTGATGAGAAAATTCTCCATCGTCAGATAAAGAAGACTGGGTTGACCTCCATGATTAATCTCATTGAACAACCATGTAGGTTTTGAAAGCTCAGTCACTACTTCTTTCGAATCAGCTGAATTATCGACGCGGTTGCTGACTGTGTCGCAGTCAGTACAACAGAGACAACAGATGCTCTTGCGACAGATTTAG